ACACATAACTGAGACTGCGCCTTTTAGTACGGTGCGCCTTATGGTCGTGAAAATACGGTAATATAACATGCAATATATTTCGGCCCATGACTTTTTCAAATGAGAAATTCCACAAACACTACAAATACAATAGCATCGTCCACTTAGAAAAGAATTACTACATTGACATTTCACGGTGAATTACTTTCTATTTACTCTACTTTCTATTTTCTAATGTTAGACCCAATGTCAGTGGCTAATTCAGTCTTCGAGTCATTCCGAGATAGCCAGACTAATGTTACGCTACATAATATACTATATGATACATCGCCATACATATGGATTTTAGTTAGTTAGTTAGTACATCCACTGACTCTAAATTACCTGTGAAACATCTTCCAACAGCCGGCAAACTGCTTGTTTTTGCAGCCAAATGCTACACAAGTAGGCATTTTTACTACGCATCTCTGGGAGTGGGGAGTACCAACATGCCGGCCAGTGGCTTCACTTTTTTCTGGCAATCCAGGGAATAAATAGAGATAAGTGGGGCTGACAGGTGCAGCAAAAGGTGAAGCGAGCTGCAAAAAGTCTGATATGATTTGTTCTTTGTTTTACTCCCTCTAGTGGTCTGGAGCACTTCTATTATGTGTAACAATTTGCTCCTCCTTTTTTCACTATATGCATCATTTTCCTTGTGCGGTTGCAGGATTTTTTGTTTTTTTCGATTGTAGGTTTTTGCTTGTATTTGTAGTGATTGCAGCATCTTTTGTTTGCACCGTTTTTCTACTGCAATTTTTTTTTTTTTTTGTGCAGCACATTTCTTAATTTACTGCGCTTTTGCACAGCCATAGTTTTTGGCCTTTAAACGTCATAAAATGCAGTACAGACCAATTTAAAAATCACAAGCTGTCTTACAAGAGTAACATCCATTACTGTTACTGTGAATACTTCCATTTTGCTTAACTAACCTATAATTTATCTTCCAAACAATGCAGGAGAGCACACCTGAAGGAATGTTTCGAGACGCTAAAGAAGAACGTCCCTAACGTGGATGAAAAGAAAACCTCTAACCTCAGTGTTCTGCGCAGTGCACTCCGCTACATACAGGTCAGTAGGTTCAATGTTTTGGGGAAAAAAAGGCTGTTTTGTTCCTTTTTGTGAACCTGAATCCCTTGGTTTTCACTCTAGGAGAAACTCTGGGATATTGCTTGTGCAATTTGTACACAACTGATGTTTTGTTAACAGTTTACTGAAAGCTGGATGTAATGTATAGTCTAATACCGTCCAGTAAATTCCATGTCATAAGATTGAGGAACAATGCTACGGCTTGGTACACTTATTTTTTCATAAGCATGAGTCTAAATGGGCTGCTGCACAGAAACCGATATATTTATAGTTTGAGAACTGGATGGAGTTATAAGTCGAAAGAGTAAAGCAATCATGATTAAAGTTGAATTTATTTGGGTGAAGAATTATAGCTGGAAGGGATTGCATGGTGTTTACGTTGGGTAAAATGTTTAGAAACCCTGTAGATGGAGGACAGCCACAGTGAGTGCTGCAGTGTCTTTTTTTTTCTGCGATGAATTCATTGACATTTGAAGTTCAGTTTGCTGCGCAATGGAAAGTTAGTGAGAGGAGCTAAAATAGGCCAAGAGATTTGGGAATTAGTTCATAACGCGACCAGCAGAGAAATCACAGGGAACAGGAATCCCCCGGGAAAGCAACACAAAGGGATTAGAGGACCTATTTAGGGTGCTGTTCTGAAGAAGTATTTACCATTTAGCTAAGAAATAAACAAATACATTCTAAAAAAAAAAAAAACGGAAACTGAAATATTAGTAGTAGTGGGCATGGTAGTGGTTCTCCTGACTGGAAAGTTGTTTTAAACAGCAGTTTTATCTTTCTTTTAAGTACCTTCTTTAAGCAAGTTGATCTACACTGTGCATTAACAGGTGAGGGAGGGGCAACACTATATTATTCATTGCTACATACAATCGATGAGACCTTTGCCTCTTTCTGACATTCTAATAATTGCTAATAAATAATTAGGAAATCATTGGAGTTTATGAGTTTGAGCTTTTTAAACCTTGACAGCAGTGAGCTGCTCTTCTCAGTCTATGGCCTTTACTGGGACATCACCCTTTATTATTCATGCATTTTTGGATTTCACCTTATTTCCTTGTCATTGAAATATCTAAACCTCAGTATATTAGCATTAGCTGGCTCTGTTATTGTTGTTGATAGCGTATTAAACATTCTGTCTTATCCATGATCAAAACATATTTACTGAATTCCAGGGAGGTTTTCTTTGAAAGGGATTTAGATCATCCTGCTGCTGTTTAGATGTTCAACAGCTAGAGCCCCAAACCCTTTGTTTTTCTTTTCTTCTGCCACCTGTGCTCATAGAAACCAGTTCATGCAGTCTCCCTCTCCTTCTCTCTTAGAGCCATGTGACATCTGAGCACATGGCTACAGCAGACCCAGTGACGTCAGCGTCTCTCACCACCTCTGATCTGAGACTGCAGAGAGAGAGGGAGACAAAGACAGGTGTTAACGATGTAGCTGTGTTTCCATGGTGATAACAGGGGAATAGGTAGAGATTGGCTATAGCTATGTCAGCTTTTTTTTTCCTTCTTCATCTCTGCAGACTTGTTTTAAAAGGTTGGAGCCACATGGAGAACCTCTGTCTTTTTAGCTGTCACTCTGAAGTTAAACCTGATAGAGCAGATATTTCTCTGCCCAAGATTCATAGCAACAATCTTTTAAAAGGAAAGAATAAAAGAGCCACAGATGATGTGTGGGGGGGATGGGTGTTTTGGGGTTGAGGAATAGTGGGGATCCAAAGCACTCAGCTGGCTGACGTCCAGTCACATCATTCCTTGTCTGCGGCCAAGTCTTTACCCTTTTTTTTTAAACTACAGTCTGCTTCTGAAGCAGCCAGATCCCACGTATAAGGTTGCCAAGGAAACGGCTATGGGTGGCTGCAGTTTCCTTGGTGTTTTACCACAGGACTAATTGTGGCCGAGTTTACGTGGGAATGTCTTTGATTGATGCTTATGGGTGGACATGAACACTCGGGAACCTATAGAAGCTCAGCCTGAGAGTCTATTTATTTACTCATTCATTCATTCATTCATTCATTCATTCATTCATTCATTCATTCATTCATTCATTCATTCAAAGTTTTCAAAAGTATTCATTACCCCTGAAGTTTTCTACATTTTGTCACTTTAGAACCAGAAACCTCACAACAGTTGTGATAAATGTTGTTCTGCTGTCAGGCGAACCTGAAGTCTTGTTCAGCCTCTGAGGCATTTCCATCCACATTTATGTTTTAGCTCCATCAAACTTTTTTCATCT